TATTATTATATATATATATATATATATATATATATATATATATATATATATATATATATATATATATATATATATATATATATATATATATATATATATATATATATATATATATATATATATATATATATATATATATATATATATATATATATATATATATATATATATATATATATATATATATATATATATATATATATATATATATATATATATATATATATATATATATATATATATATATATATATATATATATATATATATATATATATATATATATATATATATATATATATATATATATATATATATATATATATAAGTTTGGCTTCAGCTGCCTCCACTATCTCCGCTAAATTCAATGCAAGACACAAATTTGAGCTTTCATTCAGGTGATTTTGAAGAAGGATGCAAGTAGTGACATTCCTGACAGTAGTTAACGGAAGATGTTTTTTTTTTTGGGTCAATAAGTGCTCTTCGAAAACAACGGATTGCTAGTGAGTTGATCATTAATGCGGCTAGAGATTGGATTAAGGCTACAACTAATTCCCTTCCTGGAGCTGGCAGAGTTCAAATTATGCCAGCTTGGATTCCCCCAGATATTGGGGTTCTCAAGCTAAACGTGGATGGTTCACGTAAAGGCAACACCGGTGGCATTGGTGCTGGAGGCGTTATCAGAGATCATGCTGGTCACTGGGTTACTGGCTACTCTGCAAATTTGGGGCAAGGGCAAATCCTTGAAGCTGAGTTATGGGGCTTATTCTTTGGTTTGAAATTAGCTGTTGAAAAACATTTAAATGATGTTATTGTTGAGATGGACTCAGCTACTGCTGTGATGCTTATGCACAAGACTGAGATTGACAGTTGCCATCCTACTGGGGATTTGGTTAGAAACTGCAAGGGACTAATGAATCAAATTGGAAGGATTAGGCTGAACCATATTTATAGGGAGAGGAACTCCGTCGCTGATCGTCTGGCTGCTTGGAGTCACAATATGGATCTTGGTTTTTGGTTTTTTGACGACAGTCCTGTTTGGCTGGGTCCTCTGTTGCTTGATGACGCCGCAGGGCCTTCTACAGCCCGCATGATTTCTGTTTTGTAGTTTTTGTCTTTTGGGGTTTTCACCCCCCTGTTTTCATCCAAAAAAAAAAGAGAGCGTCCAAAGAAAAATATCTCATTTGCACCCACATGGAAGAAGTCTTAGCTAGGAGTTTCCATCACAAACCTCTTTTGACATTTTCGTATTTTACATTCAGTTTGGATAATCAAAAACTAAAACTCAAGTAAAGTCCCTTGCGATCAGATCATTAACTCAGAGCTCCGAGAGTTTCACACTTTTTCTAAGTTGTACTTAATAGCATTCTTGCTCTTCATTGCAATTTGCATTCATAGACACTCCCTTCTTAACTGTAGGTAATGTGAAGATATCCATCTTCATCCTTGTTTTCCTTGTCGATTTTGACCATCAAGGCACCTGTAACATTGGATCAAGGAATTATCACGAACCACAACAAAAATGAGTAGAACTAAAATGATCAAGTTGCAACTCACCAGCAGGAGGTTCAGTGTTCTTGAAAAAGACATATATAGGCTTTTCTCTGCTGACCCCGATAGTAAATCGAATATAATCAACAAATTCTCCAAGAGGCATATCACCGTACACAATGAATCTGTAATAAAAAAAACATGCTAGTGTATTTAAGACAGCCTATGAACACAAATGAACTTGGCGTTTGCCTTTCTTTACAGAAGTAGGTAGGTTCTCCTTTGTATAGTAAAAATACAAATCAAGACAATTAAAGCACAAGAGAATTTGAAACTAACTTCTTTGAGCCAATTTCAGGAAGGTCACTCCTGGCATCTTTCTCCACAGCCAACTGCAGGAAAAGCTCAAATTAGAACAGAGTATACCCCAATGAATGCATAGAATGTAAACATATTTGCCGCAGAGAAATTCTTACTGGTATACAACTTGGACGCCTCTCCCTCCAATACCAAGCATCTAAATTAGGAGGGCAGCCTTTGTAGCCATTCCTCTTCCGAGCTTCTAAATCAGTAACGGGCCTTGTAACAGTATACCCTAGTCCTTTTATTACAAAAACATCAGTAGAAAAGAGATGAGAAGAAAACTTAGGCAAAATCTAATCACCAATTCCCGAAATAAATCACTACCCTGGAAAAACTCCAACAAGAAAAGAAAAAAAAAAGGGAAAATAAATACCTGGAGGACCTTTTTTCTTGTAACGGCTTTCGGCAATGGTGAAACGCATGCCACAACTGTTCTCTGCCAATTTTCCAACAAGGAAACATCATCATACGAAATTTGTTACCCAGAAATTAATCACCACATCAAACAGAAGGCTGGTGAGAAAAACGTTGTGGGTTGAAGTATTTGAAGAAAACATAACACACCAAACCAGAAAAGGGATCTATTCGATTAGGTTTTTGGTAATAGAAGAATTGATTGGTTGAGAACTGGGAAAAGAACAGAAGGTCAAAATCAATGAAAGGGGGAGAAAATTACAGAAAGCAGAGAATCACATGTACAAATTCAGGAACAGACCTGCTGGCGTTGTATCCGATTCTACGTTTCCAACACGAATCAGTCTACATTACATACATTTCAACCTTGTCCATTTATATATCTGTTTCAGTTGGCGAGCTGCAAACTATTTGTGTGTCCACTTCACACAAGTAATTTTTTTTCCTTTTTTACAAGCAGCAATATTGATGGAAAATGAAATAAAAAAGCATGACCTCGGCAAAGATACCCATTTAGCCACAAAAAACAAAACAAGACTTTGGTGGAATTAAAAAGTTCAGGTGTATTAAATGTTCGCAAATATAAAATCCGTAAAGACAATGTGGTCTCCAATTGCGACTCTTATAGGAACTTGATTTTTTTGAGAATTTTATAGTTATCTTGAAGCAAATTATAATTGTTTTTGTTTACAAACAAAATCTTAAAAGTTCCTAGCACCAAACTCTAACACACTTTTTTTGTTTGAAAAGGATAAATTTTGTGTCATTAAAAACCATACAAAATAGTGGACAAGTAATCCACCAATAACAGGAAGAAACAGGAAAACGAGCACAGAGATCTACAATTATGAGAAGAAACCAATCCTAAGCAAGACACTGCAGCCTTCAACAGCAAACTGTTTGAAAGAGACATGTTCCTAAAAATAGGAGAATAGAAGCCCATATATGTTCATAAAAGACTCATATTTGTGTGTTACCATGCATGCTTTCTCCACTGTAGGTAATGTGAAGAAATCCATCTTCATCCTTATTTTCCTCATCGATTGCAGACATCAAAGCACCTGTAACATTGGATTGATGAATTGTTACAACGACAACTTTGCAAGCAAGAATTACTATGCCTAAAACTAAAATGAGTTGCAACTCACTAGTGGGAGGTTCAGTGTTCTTGAAAAAGACAAATATAGACTTTCTTCTGATGAGCCCGACCGTGATCCGAATAAAATCAACAAATTCTCGAATAGGCATATCACCACAGACAAGAAATCTGCAGTCAGAAAAACAGGATTGACAATAAAACTATCTGAGAACCCCTTCATTTAAGATAAGCTACGAACAGCAATGAACTTCGAGTTTTCCTATGTAGTATTAAGTATGTTTTCCTCTTCCATATACTAATATGGAATATAAGATTACTTGGTTGGCAGACTTCGCCACTTGGGTAACCAATTCATGCAAACCATTATAATAAAGACCATTCGTAACCAACCCTAGAACTTCACCTAATGTACTGAAATGTTTTCTCCCACAACTTTTTTTTCTTTTGTTAAAATGAAACTGTGTAGGAACGATACACATGACTAGATCCTATTTGTGTGCATATATATTGCACGAGCACATTAAAATGCACAACTGATGCAACGAAAACATAAGAAGCTATGAACACAAATGAACTTAGAGTTTGCCTTTCTTTGTAGTAATAAGTAGGTTTTCCTCTCTGTATAAATCTTATATCCACTTATGGAATATGAAAATTACTTGGTAGGAAGCCTTTGCCACGTAGTTGATCAATTCATTCAAACCTTCACAAATGAACTTAGAGTTTGCCTTTCTTTGTAGTAATAAGTAGGTTTTCCTCTCTGTATAAATCTTATATCCACTTATGGAATATGAAAATTACTTGGTAGGAAGCCTTTGCCACGTAGTTGATCAATTCATTCAAACCTTCACAAATGAACTTAGAGTTTGCCTTTCTTTGTAGTAATAAGTAGGTTTTCCTCTCTGTATAAATCTTATATCCACTTATGGAATATGAAAATTACTTGGTAGGAAGCCTTTGCCACGTAGTTGATCAATTCATTCAAACCTTCACAAATGAACTTAGAGTTTGCCTTTCTTTGTAGTAATAAGTAGGTTTTCCTCTCTGTATAAATCTTATATCCACTTATGGAATATGAAAATTACTTGGTAGGAAGCCTTTGCCACGTAGTTGATCAATTCATTCAAACCTTCACAAATGAACTTAGAGTTTGCCTTTCTTTGTAGTAATAAGTAGGTTTTCCTCTCTGTATAAATCTTATATCCACTTATGGAATATGAAAATTACTTGGTAGGAAGCCTTTGCCACGTAGTTAATCAATTCATTCAAACCTTCACCATCAGGACCATTCCCTTACCACTCCTACAACTTCACCTAATGCAGTGAAAAGTTTTCCCCACACAATATATATAAATATATATTGGAAAAGTGCAACTCTAAATGAACACATCATGAGTCATGACTAGATCCTATCGATGCGCTATAGATTGCATGTACGCATTAAAATTTACAACTCACAATATAAACTTAACAATTATTGGGTCATGCTTTCAAAAAAAAAATTTCCTCCTTTCCCTTTATTTTTTCCTGACCAATTTCAAGACATATATCAAAAGCATAAATGAAATGAGAACAATTCTATTTGAATGTACAAACACAAATCAACATAATTAAAGCACAAGGGAATTCGAAACTAACTTCTCCCCGTCCGTGTCAGGAATGTCACTACTTGCATCCTTCTTCAAAATCACCTGAATGAAAGCTCAAATTAGAATAGAGGATATCTACTGAATGCATAGGAAGTAAACATATTTGATGCAGTGAAATTCTTACTGGTATGCGATTTGGGTGTGTCTCCCTCAAATAACGAGCATCTAAACAAGGACTATGGTCTTTGTGGCCATTCATTTGATTCCTTATTATCCTGTATCAAAAGCATAAATGAAAAAAAAAAAAAAAAAAAAATCTTTTTCCCAATGTCAGGAATGTCAATGCTTGCACCATTCTCAACAATCATCTGCATAGAGGCTCAAATCAGAACAGAGTATGCCCCCAGTGAATGTTTAGGAACTAAACAAATCTTATTCAGTGAAAGTCTTACCGGGGTCCGATGTGGATTGTTCTCTTCTGTTTGGGTCATTCCTAAAACATTTTAGCCCAAAAAATCAGTATAAAATAGATGAGAATCGGCAATTTCCGAAATAAATTCTGCATCTACGAAATTTTGAACAAATATTTAAAGAACTATACTGACCATGTAATTAACCCAAAAAAAGAAGCAAAAAACACATACCCTGAGGATATTCGTTCTTGAAAGAGCTTTCGGCCATGGTGAAACGCACGCTACAGTTCTCTGCCAATTTTCAAACAAGGAGACATCAAAACCACATACGAAATTTTGTTTCCTATAAATTAACCCACAACATCAAAGGCGAGGAAAAAGTTGTTGGTGGAAGTATTTCGCGAAAACATAACACACCAAAGATCGATTCGATTAGGGTTTCGGTAGTTGTGAACTGGGAAAACAACAAAGGATCAAAATCAATGAAAGGGAGAGAGAATTATATATACAAATACGATAGATTAATTTTACGGGTTTAATCTCGTGAACAGACCTGTTGGATCGTCTGGATCGTTTCCGATTCCAAGTTTTCAACACGACAGGAAGAAGTCTCTGTTTATATCTCCTTTTTACTCGGCAACTCTTTTTGCGTCCGGTTCACAGTAGAACAGTTTTTTTGTTTTTTCTCTCTCTTATTTATTTAGTATTACATTCACAAATATTACTTCTTTGTCAAATCACAAAAAATTAGGGTGGTCATAAAAACCGATAAACCAAATAAATTGACCGAACCAAATGAAATCAAACCGAAAAATAAGGTTTTTTTACCAAACTGAAAAAGTCAACGCTGGACTTGAACCGAACCGTTGACTTCAGTTCAGGCTTCGAGTCTAAAATTTTTTGAACCTTTGGACCTGACCCGAACCGACTATTATTTAATTATAGGACTAACGTCATTTTAGTCCCTGGAGGTTTAGGGTCATTATCGAAATGGGCCCCCTTGTTTCAAATTCATCAATTTCGTACCTAACATTTCAAAAACTTACCAATTTACACCGGCCGTTACATTGACCGTCAAGTCAGACGTTAAATGATGACGTGGCTGTCGTGGGTCCCACCACATAATCTAACTAGCCAGTCAAAATAGTCCAGACGAAGGGCATTTTCGGGAAAAAAAATTTTGTTTTGTAAAAAAGGAAGTTAACAGTCTGCTTTGTTGCACCTTATTTTGAACATAAGGCGAAAGGAAGCTGGCCAAAGGAAACTAGCGAAGAAGATCTAGAAGCAATTGGATGCCTGGAATGGATGAAGAGGCACCAATGTGTTGGTGTGGCAAGGCTACTACAATTCGAACCTCTTGGACAAATTCGAATCCTGGGAGGCGATTTTCCATGTGTGCAGCAAAGGTACGTGAGAATAATAAGGATTTTAAGGGTTGCCAGTTCTGGGCATGGTTTGATCTGGAAATGTGTGAACGGTCAAAGACAGTGATTCCTGGGCTTCTAAAATCGCGGAACAAGCTGGAGAAATCAGTGGCAAAGGCAAGACAAAGAGAAAAGGTCGTTGGGGTGTTGTTGGTGGCTTCGTGGGTACTGTTTGCAAGCTTCATTTTGGGAGGGATGCATGGATCTGGAGTGAACAAAAAGAGGAGTTTGGAATTAGCTTCTGCCATGCTATGAAGTGTTTCTGGGTTGTTGGTTATTGGGGTATTTGTGTTGTTTGTGTGCTTTTGTAAGGGTTTAATTGCTATGTAAGGGTTAAAGCACACATGAAATGCATTTAGTAAGTTTTTGTTTGTTAATGGGATTGTGGAGGCAATATTTGCAGTGAATTACATGTAAATGAAGTGAATGCCCAAAACAATGTGAAGAGAAGTTTGAAAATTTTGCCAAAACAAGCGATGCCTAAAACAATACATGTGCTAAATGAAGTCAAATTATGCAAACAATAACTTAGCAAATTTTCCAATAAAAATGGGCTCAAAATAGCCAGATAATACATTCAAAATTACATATTTCTTGTCCTGTGAAATCCATTCCAAAATGGCAATCAGTGGATGTATTTGCATTCATAGTGGCTGAAGCTTATGTGAATGCCATTACATCCATCAAAAAAGGTCATTCATTAAGTTACACATGACCAATTGACCAAAAACAAACCCTAATCACAAGTCATTAAGTTATACATGACCAATTTACCCTAGGGTTTAGGACCATTTAATCACAAAATGCCAGTCTAACAACCCCGAACTGTAATGATTCCTTTTTTTAGTTAGCTTTAATCTACAACATTTGATCCTGCAGTTGATGCATAAGTTGATGAACTAGGACATGAAGTTGAGGCCACTGGAGGTTGAGAAGTGGCATGTCCTTTCTTACTTGGTTTTGGTTGCACAGATTATTCAGGAAGTTAAGAGAGGATTTGGAATTTGAAGAAAATTGATAAGAACCATCATAAACAAAAGTTAGTTACCAGAGGTTTCCCTTTTTGCACACGCCTTGGAGGCTTGGATATTTTCTTTTTGGTGCTTGGACCAGCTGAAGTGGCTGCTTGGGATGGATCAATAGTGGTCTACAACATAAAAATATTTGTCATGATGCAACAAAAGTAAGTATTATTAAGGGATATAATTGAGCAAGATTGAGTTGCTATACCTAGATATTTTCAGTACTTCTCTTCCTCTTACTTGCAGTTTTGGCCTTTGAGGGAAGATTCCTATGGCAAGTCCTCCTATTGTGCCCCTTTTTACCACATTGCCCACATTTGAGAGAGTCATGTGTGTTGGGAATACGAGACAATGCAGTTTCAGTTGTGTTGCTTGACTCTCCCATCTTCATTTTGCCCTTGTGCTCTCGCTCTTCTTTCTTTCTACATTTTCTTGGCCTTCCAGGCTATTTAGAGTAAGAAGGGACATGGTGGAAAATCAGTCTTGCCCCACATATCCATCCCATTCATAGGCAGTATGAGATTATTATATGTCTTCAAGTAAGTTGTTGTCAAATAGCAGTCATCCACAAAATCCATGACACTAAGCCCCCCTTTATAATTTATGGCTGAAATAGCATGAACACAAGGCCATCCCTGCAAATCCCATGCTCTACAAGAACAACTTCTTAATTCCAAGTCCACAATATATTGTGCATGGCCACCAACTGACACTTGGAATTTTCCTCCACCTGACCACATTGCCACACAAGCACCTGCCTTGGCTTTATTTGCCTCCACCTTCTTAACAATTCTTGGGCACATAGGCTTGTTCCATTTTTTTTCATTTTATCCCTTCTTCCCTGTATTCTCTTCATCAGCTTACATCTAATATACTCCAACATTGTAAGAATAGGTCTATCCCTACATTCCAATATGGTACCATTGAAAGACTCGCACTAATTATTCAACACCATGTCACATTTCAAATGAGTGCTGAAGTGTGATTTTGACCAATGCCTTGGAGGTTTATCTGGAGTGGTGAGCCATTCATATGCATCATTGGACAGTTTTTTAAGTTCTTCCATGGCCCTTGTAAAGTGGGGGACAGTGGTTGCATATGATGCTTCCCAAAACTTGTCTCTCAAGCTTTTTGCTTTGAATAATATCCTATAGTTGCTAAAAAGATGTCTTGCACAGAACCTATGGTCACATTTAGGGGCCACTTGCTCAAAAGCAAGCAATAAACTTTTTTGTTTGTCGGATATAAAGGTGAAGCCAAATTGATTAACAATCTCACAATCCTTAACCAATAGCTCCAGAAACCAAATCCAAGAATCCTTGCACTCTAATTCCACAACTGCGTACGCAATCACCTAGGTTTCATTGTTGGCGTCTATACCCACTACAGTTAACAGTTGCCCTGCATAAACACTCTTCAAAAAACACCCATCTAAACCTATAATGGGCCTGCATCCAGCTTTGAACCCTTCCTTAGCAGCTCCTAAACAAACATACACCTTTGAAACTGTGGTTTCCCCAACTTTTCTTTGAAATCACACTTAACCATTGATGTGGTTCCTAGATTAGTGTTCCTTAATTCCTGACAATAATCCCATATTCTTGAATATTGTTCATTAAAAATGCCCTCAATCAACTTTAGTGCCTTCTCTTTTGCCCTATACACTTGTTGTTTTGACACCCCTGTATTATAATCCTTCTCAACAGTCTCCTTGAATGAGCTGACTGGCCACCGAGGATTGGTCTTTAATGTCTCAACATATTTCTTGCTTATCCAAGTTGACTCGACATTAGGGTTCTCCCATAACTGTGTACATGTGTGCTCACGTACATATGTCTTCACTTGCAATGTGTTCTCATGTTGCATTTTTGAAGCATATATCATCCACTCACAATCTGGGTCCCTACAAACTGCCTTCAGCTTCAAAGCCTCACTCCTAATAAATACAACATCCCTTTTCTGCAAGATGTCGTGTTCTCTGACAGCTATCCTAAAGACTTTATAATCAGTAAACAACATGCCAATCTCAAACTTTGGATCTGCCATGTCAGTTGCAGCATTGAACTCTGGCCAATTCTTATCACCTTCATGGTCAGAATTACAGTTGGCATAATCCTTACACTCAGAATCTTCAGAATCCAATTTAACATCTGTAGGCCAATCAGGAGCAGCCTCATTCCCAGTTTCTTTCACCCTGTCCATTCAGTTTGGTCATCCACCCATTTTTCAAAAGAAGCATCATCTTCATCTTCATCTCCATCTTCACTACAGTTCTTGGAAATCTCATAATCATAGTCCTCACTATCAATAGAATCATCATCAAAATTGTTGGTAATTTTTAACAACAATATTAAAACCTTGCAAGTGCACAAATCAAATGATAGTATAGTAAGCAAGCAAGGGTCATTCCCACAGAGATTGTAATCTAAAGAGATGTTTATCAATGTCACACAAAGAAAACTAGAACACAATTAAACACGAAAACAAAATAAAGATTG